GTCTTCTGTTTTGATTTCTTCCAGCTTGACTTCACCTGATTTAGTCTCATCTGCTTTGCTGTCTTCATCATCATTTTTGTTCATGTTATTTTCTGGGCTCGAAGCCAGTTTGAACTGAAAAACTGATAAAAAGTCCTCTTAAGTTTTTGTCTGCCTGCGTTTATTAACGAGCCGTCAAAGGGGGGTCAGAACAGATTTGTTTGGCATGGTCAGTTTTTGATGAAGCCATGTTGTCTTCTGGTTATAGCTTTGTTTGCTTCTAGGTATTCGCAGATTTGTTGCTTGATTATCTTTTCCAAGATCTTTCCAGGTATTGATATCAGGCTGATTGGTCTGTAATTTCCTGGATCTGTCCCCCCTGCTTTGTTTTTTGAAGATGGGAACTACGTCAACTCTTTTCCAGTTCTCAGGTGGTACCTCAGTGTTTCAAGAACTTTGAAAGATATGTCCCAAGGGTGCTTTTTTCATGAGGCAAGTGGGCTTTCTTGGTTTTTCTTTGAAGATATTTTGCTTCTTATCCAAGAAACTTCTTCACCTCTGACAGGATAGTGGGGAATGGAAGGATTTATTTTCCTTTCCTTTCATTTGCATCCTTTTAGAGGGCCATTGAAGCCTTTGGATGTTTATCTGTGTCCCCAGGATCCCCTGAGTAGTGCTGATGGTTCCTGTAGTCTGCAATTTTTCCCTCTGGAAATCCATTCCTACTCCCTCATCATTCAAAGGGTGTACATTCCAAATTGTATAGCTAAAAGTCTCTAGAGATTCTACATGACCTGGATCACTGAGAATCTCTACAGACTTTGAAAGATACGTTTCAATGGTTCTGAAATCACATCTGCCAGTTCCTTCAGAACTCTGGGATACAGTCTATTAGGACCTGGTGATTTGAATCCATCTAGAGCTGGTAGCTGTTGTCTTACCATATTTTTGTATATTTTAATTTGCATTCTTAGCCTGTCAATTACAGTTCTGTTTTTGATAAGTAATGGTGTTTTTTTTTGCATGAAGACAAATGCAAAGTATGAATTAAGCAGTTCTGCTTTCTCTCTACTCCCCATTATTTATTTGCCATCTTCTCCCATTAATGGAGCTATTGTTTTGTTGACTTTTTTCTCCATTTTTATGAGTTGAATGAAACTTTATTGTTTTTGACCTTTGTTGCAAGTCTTCATTCAAAGCCTTAGCTTTCCTAGTATCCCTCTTTCCATTTTTGTACTTATTCTTTTTTTCCTCTCAATTGCTTCAGACTTTTTGTGCAACTTTTTCTTGTTTTTCTTATAATTTTAAAAAAATTTAAAATTTCAAAACAAACATCCTTTTTTACATGCTGTAGAAAGTGTATCAGTTGGTTACAAAAAGACTTTCGTGCATCTCTTCAACAAACAATTCATATTAACTCAAGTATTTTAACTCAGATATTTATACATATTTCCATCATCATATCTCCATTTTCATTTGACTATTATTATTTAAACATCCTTCATCATAAAATATACCAA